AAAACGTTTTATCTACAAGAAATGGACTATTCATTTTTCCTACTTTCCTTTCTTATAAATTTCAATTCTTAAACAACTGATGGATGATATGTTAGCTATCGTTATTGCTGATAATCTTATCATTATTTACTTCATCATTAATATCATTATTACTGGCAAAATGTTAGCAATTATTTTCAGATAAACCAATCATTAAAAAAACTTTTATTTCTTAGAGTATTGTTGATTAGATTAAAATGAATAAATCATCTGCTAGATTGAACTAAAGTTGGTAATTTAGTGGAAAAATGTCGGAAAAGATGAAATAGATAAGTGATAAAAATGATAAAAGAAAAAGAGGTTTTTCAACATTTACCTGTTAAATTATCATTTTCTATAGATTTTATCTTAACAATAAGTGTAAAATTTATTTAACAATTTCAATTAATTACATTATTTTCACTTTTTAAAAAGAATGAAAAAGTTTGGGAAGAAAAAATAAATTTTCCACTTTTATTTTTTGTAATATAAAATAAAAGAATTCGAAATGTGTTAGCTGGCAATATATCGACAACAATCAGATAAATTATCATTGCTAAAGGGAAAAGAAATTAAATGATTGTTAATTTGCTGACACATTTTCATTAATTGAAAACAATTAATTTGTAAGGGTATTTTAAGTTTGCTTAAAATTATTATTTGGCAGTTTACCTGTAAAAGCATAAAACGATTAATTTGCATTACAAAAAATAAATAAATAGAAATAATTTATTCATTAATTAATTACAAAAGAGAAATGTTATTTCATGCAACTTTTTAAACTTTTCAATTGTTTTACATTCATTTTTTATAAATTTGATAATTACCATACAAATGACAAAAAGTGATATATTTCAGTATTATCCGTTATTAATTATTATAAAGTTTTAAAATTTCATTAATCACTGATAGTGAAAGAGGGAGAGAGAGAGAGAGAGAAAGAAAGAGATGAAGCATGGAAATTATTGAAAACTTGTTTATTATTATTATTATATTAGCTATTTCTGATATCACTTAGGTTTCTTGATTTCACTTTTTTAATTAATAAAAATCGATTGAATAAGTATGAACACAGACATGTATACATATATATATTTATGCGTACATATATGTATACACTTATGCACCTGCATATCATGCCATATTTATCTGTCAATCCAAGCAACGGCAATCATTAATTGATTTGTTTTAGTGAAATTATTGCAACCAACTCATTTTAATTTAATCATTCTTTTATAATAGTAGTATCGTAATTTTAACTACAAGTTTTAATTTCATTCATTTAAATTTTATTCGTTTAAATTTGGTGCATTGCACAATTTGTCTTGTCTTCTTCAATTTATCATATCACCGACAGGTGCATTATTTAGGTTCGTTTTTTTCTCTCTCTTCCACCAACTTTGTAATAGTACCGTATCATAAATATATCATTGAAAGAATTGGTACCAAAGTTTGATAATAGTAAAAAAATAGTATAAATTTGAAAATGAATAAACGGACAAGAAGACGAAGTGATGGCGAATGAATGTATATTTCTTTTGAAATTTAAGAAAATTTTCGATCGCTTAAATTAATGGTACATCTTTATGATCTTTCATTCTTAAATTAAAAAATCTGACCCCAAATTTATTCCACTATATTCTGTGTATTACTATATTCTATATATTATGAATATTATTCACTATATTCTATGTATTACTATATTCTATATATTATGAATACTATTCACTATATTCTATATATTACTATATTCTATATATTATGAATATTATTCACTATATTCTATTACTATATTCTATATATTATGAATACTATTCACTATATTCTATATATTACTATATTCTATATATTATGAATACTATTCACTATATTCTATGTATTACTATATTCTATATATTATGAATACTATTCACTATATTCTATATATTACTATATTCTATATATTATGAATACTATTCACTATATTCTATGTATTACTATATTCTATATATTATGAATATTATTCACTATTCTATTCTATATATTATGAAAGTATTTTCCTTCAAACTTTCATGGCATTCATTATATTTCTTAACTTTATATCAGATATAACTTAGTAGATATATAATGTGAGATTTCGTCTTTTCTTATTTCATTTTGGAATTTAATCGTTTTTTTATAAAATCATCTTTTACTATGTAACCGTTTATGCTAATAATGATAATTATCAATAATATGTTTAAAAAAATCTCAAGTAATTATGAAAAATTGCTATCATATAATACAAAATAATAAATAATACAGTAACATTGCTAACAAGCCATCGTTATCAATTATTATCATCTTATTAATAAACTGTTATCATAAAGATTGAAGATTTGAATCATCCATATATGAATTCGAATAAAATAAAACGAAATAGCAGATAGCTAGTTTATTTCTGAAATCGGCTTAAGATAATAAGCGCTTGATAATGAAAAACTTGGTGGTAATTAGTAACATATATGTATATATAGTGGAATAAAATCATATTTAGTATTTTAGTTTGTCAATTTCGAATTTATAAATGCTTAATTTAATGAAATGTGATGGACCAAACTCTTTCGAAATGATTATATGTGAAGTAGCAATGAAACTAATATCCAAAGAATTTCTCGCCAATTCTGTATATATTTGCTAACAGTATTATTTACATTTATAGTTAACTATCAGTTAAATAGTTAATTATTTTCTTTCGTTTAATCGATCTCTTATTTTTTTTTATTTGTAAATTTTGATGCTAACATATTGTTACTAATAGCTAATTAATCATTTTCTTTGATTGTTTCAAAAAATTATGCATTTCTAAGGTAAGAATTTTAATTCATATTTAAGCAATATCTAAAGAATTTTTTTCAAATTTAAACTTTAATTACATTTACACGAAATAAAATTCCCAGGATTTTTTTTGGATAAACTAGAAATTATCGTCATTATATGAATCATCATCATCATCATATCAATTATCAACATTATACTATTATCATTAGCGCAAAATAAATGTAATTTATCTATAATATTTATCTTTTAAAAAATTTTACGAGTTATTTTTGTCACGATCACTATGATAATATTAATCATTACCCTCTTTCTTATCTGATATTAACCATCATTATCTACCTGCAATATTAATATTAATCATCAATATCATTATCACAATATGAAATTATCATTATCGTCATTATGGCAATATTAATCGTTATTCTCATGATATTATCAGTCATTATCTTTATTATATTAATCATTATTATTACCAAAATATTAATCAACACTAATCATAATAGTCATCATATTATCATTATCATGATATTAATTATCATTATTATAATATTATGGGTGGTAAAACAAAATTCTGTAAGTAATATTTACAGCAAGCGTAGTGAATGATGAAAATATTTTGGGAAGAAAAATAAATTGAAGAATATAATAATGCTTCATTATACTTTTAATACATAAAGATTTATTAGGGACAATATAAATAGGAAGGGAAATTTTTGTTCTTTACCAAAATGTAATGAAAATGATCTTCGATCCTTACCCTCTTATAATTAATCATTAATCATTGTTATCATTAACCAAACATTAGTACATAACAAAGACACTGAAGTTCGTTTATAGAATTGAACTAAGTGAATGAGTCATAAAATATACAGTTTCTATTATTATTATTATTATTATCACTGTAATACAGTAAACGTGAATTACTTGAAATAATAATTTATTGTTATTTGATTTCAAATTTTTATTTCTAAATGGAATGGATCAGAAGGAGAAAGGATTGTTTTTGTTTTTCAATGTTTCGTCTATCAAATTTATGTTAAGGCACTTTATACTAAATGATTTTTCCTCTTTTTATTTCACACCTTAAAAACAATAAGTTGGAAGGAAAGAAAGAAAGAAAGAGAAAGAGAGAAAAAGAAACAAAAAATCTGCCACAATCAATTTTATTGCTATAAACCATTTCAATTTTCCCTTTATCACAAATATCTTTTAACTCTCTCTCTTATTGTTATAATTTGAAAATTTCAATTTTGACAGAAAAGTCTTACTCAAATATTAAATTAAAATGAATTAATTAATAGCATATCACAATAATTAACACCAATTAATAGTAATATTCATTTACTGTGAAGTACCATTAGAATCTTTATTTTTTAAGCTTTAAATGTGATTCAAATAAGAAATGTAATAAGATATTCATTTATTCATTCATGCATCACATACAGACAAATAAATACATACACATTAAATATTTAAATGCATGCATGCATGCATGCAATGCATACACACATGCACATATACATACATATGTACAAAGGGACAAATATGGATACTTGTATTTCATTTATGATTGGCAGATTTTGTTATCACTAAAATAACTCTCATATTCAGGAAGTTATATCAGGCTTTTCTCTCCTCACATTACACTATTACTTTTCATCAATATTTTGAGAATAGAGAAGAGAATCGAACTTTTAAAATTTTCCTTTCATAATTAAAGTTTCATTAATTTAATCGTTAGTTGTTTGTAGCGGTAGATTTTAATTGCAAAATATATCGCTTTGTTATTATAACTATTTAAAATTTCATTCATAAATAATAATGGAATGTCTTTTTTACTTTTATAGCAATCAATGAAATTTTACATTTAATTTTAGGCTTTTCATTTGACTTTAGGCAAAGAGAAAGATTTTAGATCGTTTTATTGTCGAATATCTTAACACTTTTTATTTCTTTTCCATTTTATAGCATTTTCCCTTTTATCGTTTCTTTGATTTATTTCTTTTCTTAAATTGAAAGTTTTAAATCTTATAGAATACAATTTGAAATTATCTTTATTGGAAGAAAAGTTTCAAAAAAAGATAAAAAGAAGGAAGAAAAAGAAGAGGAAAAGAATATAACAAAAGTGGAAAGAATCAAAAAAAAAAAACATCTGTCAACAAGAATATAATTGAAATTATCCGATGTCTATAATAATCGGTATGGAATTAGCTAATTAATTATTTACAATAATTAAAGAATGAGTAAATAAAGAGAGGGGAAAAAATGGGGGAAATGAAGAGTGAAAGAAGAAAAGAAAGATAGAACAAATGAATAAATGAATGAATGGAAAAGAGAAAGAGAAAAAAAAGAATAAAAAGATGCTTTTGTTTTAAATGAAATTATCAAAGATTATTTTCATATTTATTATGGCTATTAGTGTCTTTCAAATTAACGTCGGGCAGCGAACGTGAAGTGAAAGGTAATTGGAGAGATTTTTATGAAATTGCACCGCAAGTTGAGGAAACACCTGGACGTTTTCAGGTATGAATTTAATTTCAACTTTCAAATTCTATTTTTCTTTTCAACTTTTTTGAATTTTCAAAATTGTACAAATCAATTAATTTGAAATATCATTTAATTATATATTCTTTTTGTCTTTCATATTCTTTATCAAGTGTTATCTATTAATTATTTTGTAAATAAAATTGAATTTAAATGAATTATAAATGAAAGGATTAAGTAGAAGAATTTCAGGTGGTGTCATTTAATTGGGAAGAAGTCCAAAAACCATATACTATCGCAATATGGCTATTACTCGCTGGTATTGCTAAAATGGGTTTGCTTTTATTTTTTCGTTATAAGATTCGTCTCTTTTTTGCAAACTAGATTTAATTAAATTTAATTAATTAAAGAAAGAGGGAGAAGGTTTCAACTTCAACTCTGATTAGCATTATTGCCTTATCTGTGCTGCAATGACGTAAATGACGATATTGATTTACGTCATTGCGATGGAAACGTGAACGTATATTACAGATGTTGCTTTATACAACTTGTATTATCAAATTTCATACTGTATCTTATCATACATTGATTAGATTTGCAATTATACTTACAAAAAAACAATTTAAAGAATTTCTAATTTTGTTGTAAGAATTGTGAAAAGTTTTGCTGCTGTTGCTAATTTTAAATTGAATAAATGAAAACATTTTAATTATCAATTCAAATTGAATTTTATTATTAAATTTTTCTTTTTAAAATATTGAATTTATTAAAATTGAAAATTACAAATTTAAAATTTAAAATATTAAATTTTCTCCATTTTTAAAACAAGTAATAAAAATATATGTATATGTATATGATGGATTGAACAGTTTTTCATATATCAAAACGGGTCGCCGATACATTTCCTGATTCATCATTATTAATTGTTGTGGGTCTTATGTTGGGTGTCCTGCTCAAATTATCCAATGTTAGTGATTCAATATTCAACCTTGAAGCAAATATTTTCTTCCTTTACTTGCTTCCACCAATTATTTTTGATGCAGGTTATTTTTTAACTTTTATTAAATTTTCAATTTTTAAATTTGAAACTTATCATCTATCAACTTTTACCAAAATTTAATTTAATCAATAAAACATATACACTGATAAATTTTAAAATTAGCATTGAGGAAAAGAAAAGCGAAATTTTTATGTATCAATTTTATATAAGTAATAAAAATATCTGCTTGAATTATTTTATAATCTAATTAGATGTTTATATATTTATGTATTTTTCATATTTAATATATGAAATTTCAATTTAGCGTATTTTTATGGATTGTTTTTGAATACTAATTTGGTTGCTAATTAATGTAATTAAGTATAATTATGATTTCATTGATTTATTTGACTTTTAGGTTATTTTATGCCAAATCGAGCTTTGTTTGAAAATTTTGGCTCTATTTTGGCATTTGCTGTTATTGGGACCATATGGAATTGTTTTGCAATTGGTTAATTTTAACAACTCAGATTTTTATATATAAATAATGGATTTAAAAGAAAATCAAACTTAAAAAATGATTGTATCACTAAGTGATTTGCAAAGAAACATAAAGCCAAAAAATGAAAGCTTAGAATATATCTAATAATCAGAATCATAAAATTTCCGGATAAATTTTATTTAAAACCAATATTGGAAAAAGTAAAGTGACCAAATGCAAATCGATTAATTTCATCATTTTTAATTTGAATATTTATTTATTTATTATTAAAGCCGCTTTTTTGATTAACGATCAATGAAAAAGTTATTGAGTAAATAAATATTACGCAATTATTGTATACGGAAAATTTGAAAGATTATCTATCACAAATATTTTCAGCCTTATTTGCCATCGAGTAATTTTACCTTTTTTTATTTTAGGCTGCTCATTATATGGCCTTGGTTTATTAAATGTATTTTCAATCAAATTTTCCATTTTCGAAATTTTCCTTTTTTCGGCATTAATTAGCGCTGTTGATCCAGTAGCTGTAATAGCAGTTTTTGAAGAGATTCGTGTTAATGAAACTCTTTTTATAACTGTTTTCGGCGAAGCATTATTCAACGATGGTATTACCGTGGTAAATTCTCTATAAAATATTCACTTTTTTAATTAGTCAACTTATTGATTAAAATATGGGTTAACCACTTGATTTTAATAATAATAAATTACAATGTAGCAGAAAAAATTCGGTAGGCTAATTTCAAAATATTAACAGTTTAATTATGGGAAAATTAAAAAACAATGGTTTTCTAATGTAATTAATGTTTATTTTGAATTTGAATTTAAGTTGGAACAATCTGAAAGCTAATCTTTGGAGATTAAATAAATTTGTCAAATTTTATAGGAAATAAAATTTTATTTAATGTTTAAATTTTGGCATGAAAATAAATATCGTTTGCTTTTATATATTATTATTATTATTATTTAGGTACTGTATCAAATGTTTCGCAAATTTGTGCTAATTGGAAAGGATAAGCTAATTCCATCTGATTATTTTGCTGGCGGTATAAGTTTTTTTGTGATTGGTCTTGGTGGTACAGCGATCGGGCTTTTTTATGCTTTTATTGTTAGTTTCATCACTAAGTAAGTTCTTTTGTTTTTTATTTCAACTAAAAATTTTCAACTAAAAGCATTTAAAATCAAAAACTCAATTTTTATTATCTTTTGCTAATTTCTAAAAAGTTTAGAATTTTTTCGATCTATCAAAAAACGTAAACGTTTCTTCAAAAATTTACATATAATTAAATTTATAGTTTTTTAATTAATTAACTTTAATTGTAATCCATGTTAGGAAAAAATATTTGCATGTGAAAAAGTGAAAATTTTGGAAATTTGGCACTGGAAAATTCGAAAATTTATCTTTACAGATATACGGATAAAGTCAAAATATTAAATCCTATTTTCATATTTCTAATACCGTACATGGCTTATTTAACCGGTGAAATGTTTGGGCTTTCATCCATTTTAGCGTAAGTTATTTATGGAATTCTATTATATATATATTATTTATAATTATGTGAAATAATAGTAATGATAATAATAATAATAATAATTTGTTTACCCATTTATTTTTCATACTACAAAAATCATTAAAATATTAAAGTTTGCAAAAATTTTCCCGTGGTATGTATCACTTTCCAAATTCTCAATCTTACAATTTTAATAACTTAAAAGAAATTTGATGCTATGAAATTTATAAAAGTTGAAGATGAAGAGAAATAAAGTTGTTTTAAATTTCAATTCTTTACAAAAGCAAATTTTAGAATTGTTGCTTGTGGTATGGCTATGAAGCAATATGTTAAAGGCAATATTACTACAACAGCTGCGACATCTGTCAAATATTTTATAAAAATGTTAGCACAAATTTGTGAAACGGTTATTTTCATGTTTCTTGGCTTATCAACCATTTCAAGCAAACATCACTGGGATTTAGCATTTATTGTACTTACAATTATCTTCTGTTTGGTTTATCGTACCATTGGTAAGATATCATTTCTAATTTTCTATTTTGCTGTATTGAATTTTTGACAATAATTTTCATAGAACATTTTTATCCATTGATCGGTTTCATTTCGAAATTGTTAAAGTTTAATTGAGTTTGTAAGTTGCTAACAAATTTATGAATTCATCAAAGCCATTAATTTTACAGATTAACTTTGTAGGGGTAATCGTACAATGCGCTATACTGAATCGTTTCCGTAAACAAAGTTTCACTCGGGTTGATCAGTTCATTTTATGTTATGGCGGATTACGAGGAGCCATCGCTTTCGGCTTAGTAGTTTCTATGCCGAATAACATTCATGCTAAAAGTATGTTCACAACAGCCTGTATAGCTGTCATCTATTTCACCGTATTTCTACAAGTTAGTTTGATAATTTCGATTTCTGGATCTGGTTTATAATTGAGATTGTGTTATTGAAGATGCCTTACATAAAATTAATGATCATTAATAGTTTCTAGCGGTAATTTAGCGATCATTCCCAATTTTGCACTTTCTTCTTTTCTACTATTATATTGATTAATCCCAATTGTAAGATTACAAATAGCATTTAGCTCAATTGTTAAATACCTACCACATGATATATTTAAAACAGTTAATCTTTTTTAATCACATGTAAACTTTTTCAATGCTAAAATTTATCAAGAATATATTGTAAAAAAGAAAAGGTAAAAAAAATGTAACTTTAAAACTTAATAACATAATCATTTGAATTTACAGGGAATAACAATTCGACCTTTAGCAACATATTTAAACATAAAACGTGAAACGGAAGAAGGTCCAACAATGATACAAAGTGTTTACATGAGGGTACATTCAAATAAACTTTGAGCAACGCAAAGTTATTTATTGTAATTTAATCATAAATGATAGAATAAAAAATAAATATTAAACATTTTGAGACATTCAAATTTCTCATTTCCTTTTTTTCCGAAAATCAAATAATTCAAAAATTATATTTAAAAAAATTTTTTTCGCTGTTTGATAAAAGATAAAAGCCAAATTAATAGCAATAACATTTGAACTTTTTGACAGATATTTAAATATATTGTTTAAAGAATTAATTCATTTATTGATTAAATTATTGTCAGTTTTATCTTTGGCTTATTATTTGAGGGTAAAGGTTACTAAATGTTTTTAAACTTGATAATTTTGTCATAAAGAAAATTATTACATTTAGCCATTTTAAGTATTTCGATTATACAATGGCTGGTGTGGAAGATATTGCCGGCCAAAAAGGTTACCATTCAGTACGTGATGCGTAAGTTTATCAAATTTTCATTTATCATTTTTTAATTATCTGTTAGTTAAACTAATATGTCCATTTCATATTTTACATAGTAGAAGATTAATGAAGTACACATATACAGCTCATAAAATTTATCAAATTTATAATTTGAAAGTTTAAAAATTTTTTCTCTTCCATCAAAACTATTCTAAGAATTCGAATTGCAATGACATTACTTTGAAATGCTCATCCTGAAAAGCCTTCTTTAATATTGCAAACACAGGAAGAAATTTCTAATCTTCTTGAATGATTGAGATTTTGCTAATTATAATATTTATAATATTCATTTGAATATTTCAAATAATTTATAATTATAATTACAAGCAACATTTTCCCTCTTTTTCGCTCTTATTTTCAGTTCAAATTTAATTAGAATTAAGATAATTCAATTACTAAAAATTTTCTTTTCTCTTTAATCAAACAATAATACATTGAAAAGTAAACAGCTGTAAGAGATTTGCAAATGAAAGAAAATATGTCTAATTTAGTAATCAATAATATATCTGTTAATGTATTAATTTCCATTTCAAAAAAGACAAAGTTAAATTTTCTTTAAAATATCATTATTTGAAAAGAAAAAAGAGAAGAGAGGAAGAGAAGGAAATTTTCAATTTATGCTTTAAGAATTTAAAATTGAAATTTTAGCTTTGAACGTTTAAATGCAACAATCTTTCGACCGTTGCTAATGCGAAATCAGAAGCCACATCGATTTGATGCATCCAAAATTATTCGAGCCTATACGAAAATAACCTTAAGAGAAGCTATGGAAATGGCCAGTGATATTAAGCCTAATATTCCTATAAGAAAATCGTAAGTTTCGCATTCTTCCGGATTTTTTTCACGCCCTCAAATTAATTTCTTGTTATACCAACGTTTTATTTAACTTTTATCAGGAAATTAAATTTATTGAAATTTAATAATATTAATGTATATTGCTTAAATGATGATAGAGATAAAAAAGTAAGTATATGGTTGGTTCATTTGTTGCACAAATGATACTACCAAAGGTCATTCATTCTATACAAATTAACAACTGAAATATTATTTGCAGAAAAAGTGTATCTGATAGAGTTTCATCATCCAAATTCGAATATTTATTCGGTGAAATATCTAAAGCGAATGATCCATCGAATTTGAAGACCGAAATTACAAAAGTAACAAATTTTTGATTATTTTGTATATAGAATTATTATTTTATGACACGTGAATTTTTTGAATCCATGGAAATATGTTGAATTTACAAAAAGTCGTTTATTATTTATCTCTTCACTGATTATTTATTTAAGAGATCATAGGAATTAGCAGATGTTAATGAAGTTAATTGTTACATTTTTCATTAGCTAAATGATTTGTATACTAAAAATGAGTAAACATATGAAATGGAATTTTTGATTCCTCTGTTCATTAATTTTATTCCACTGATAAACTTAAATTAATTGTAATGTCAATTTAACAAAAATTAAATGATATTTCTTTTTACAGTATATGGCATCAAGCGAAAATACAGAAGCTTTATACCATATGTTCAGTCAATTATTAGATCGTAAACTTCGTGAATTAAAGAAGGATGAAAGTACAATGGAAGAAAATGGCGATGATATTAAAGAAGATTACTTAGAGGAATTTGTTAAACCTGGAACCAGCATTTCAACAGTTGATCTTACAGATGTATTCTATTCATTTTACCCTTTTTTCCTTTCTGATTTTAATTTACCATAGAAATGAAATGAAAAAAGGAATAGTGAATAATCAGAAGGTAATGTTGGAAGATAGCAATATTGACTCATAAATTGTTTCATTTTTTAATATCTTAATTTATATTGATCTTTTTAGCCCAGTAAATTGGAGTCTCGTTCCATGTCAAGTGCGTTTCGTAACAGTATAAGACAACGAAGGAGAATATCAAGAAGTCTAAGTATGGGAAATCATGTTTGATAGAAATTTCATTATCATTTTGGATAAGTTTGAAAATTTCATCATATCCAAATTTTCCTTTTCTTTTGTTGGCCAACCGATAATGAGCTTATTTATTATTTTTCTTTTTACATTTATTCATATTTCTCATTTTTTATTAAAAATGATATCATTAATTTGATCATTATTATTATTATCACTATCAATAAAAACAATAATAATATTATTATAAATATTACTAATATTGTTATTAGTAATGATATTTTCCCCAAAAGAGTATCACTGATCATTTACTTTATCAAAATTTCAAATAAGAAAAACAATAAGTGAAAGAAATATGAATTGTTGAAAATTCATTGTTGTAGTAAGAATGTTTTTATTGAATGTGTTTATCGTTGTTGTATATAGTAATTTAAATCAATTTATTCGTTGTGTTAATTTTAATTAGAAGTGTTCCTTTTCTTCACCTTCATTTATTTGCGGTTATGTTATCATCCATTGGGATTTATCGAATAATCGATAATTGATTTGATGATATTATTTTGTGTCGATTTCATTACTATGAAAATAATTATTTATATATATAAAACAGGAAGAAAATTGTTTTAAAAAATTTTAAGATTCGAAAAAAAGGTTCCATTCAAATTATTATTAATCTAAGAAATTTTCAAAAATTTAAACTAAAAAAAATTGTATCATTCACTTCTCTTTTGTTGTATAAATTTTATTAGTTTGTATTTTATAATATATATTTTCAATGTGGTATGTGACAGATTCTCAATTGAAGTAATTTTTTAATCAAATGTTCAAACGATCGATTCAAATTTGTAATTGCCAATAATATAATAATAAAAGACAATAAAAGTAAATTAGTCAATGCAAAAGGATAAAAGCAAGAAATTGAAAACCAAAATAAAACAAACGAATATATATAATTTTTGATTGAACAAACGAATACATACAATTGAAAATCAATTTGATAGAGAGAACAAACGAATATATATAATTGAAAATCTATTTGATAGAGATTTTATTGATAATGTCTTCTTATCACTCGTAAAGCTCCCACTGGCCTTCTTGAGAGGAAACAACATGGAATATTACGATGACAGAGCTTGCAGTTGGGTACTTTGTTATAAGACTGAAAATTAATTTTATTTATTTTGTGGTATATTTTATTTCATTTACTTATATTTTTGTGTTTTTTATATTTCTGAAATTAATTTGAAATAATAATAATAATATCAAACGTACGTTTTCATTAAATGAAAGAATGTGAGATTTCTTCTTTCTTCTCTTCAATTTACTTCTTTTTCCAAATTTACTCATTATTTTCCATAANTTTATATTTCTGAAATTAATTTGAAATAATAATAATAATATCAAACGTACGTTTTCATTAAATGAAAGAATGTGAGATTTCTTCTTTCTTCTCTTCAATTTACTTCTTTTTCCAAATTTACTCATTATTTTCCATAATTTCTAAAACAATAAACAATGTTAATTGAAATATTCCCAAATTGTTATAAATTAATAAGAAAAATTTAATTAAAATTTTCCAAATGCTATCCTTCGGAAACAATAAAAAGCAAGCAAATGGTAATTCATATATTTTGAAAATTCCACAATCCCAATTAGCATGATTAACATGAAATGCTCAAACATACACTAGCTGATAATGTCTTGGCTGATCTGGTATCAGTAGTAATGACATTGATAGTATTCATTTCATCTTTAGCTATAAATGTTTCGATAGATTGGTTGACAGCTTCACAAATTTTAATCGTTGCTTCGACATCATTTCTCAACTTCAACAGATTATCCATATTTTTAATTTCATTCAATCCTTCCTTCATCAATTTCATATCCTATAAAATAACGGAATTATTATCACATTATTATATGTTACATAACTCAAAATTATTTACTTCCTTACTTCTTCCTAATATTTTCATGTGCTATAATATAATAAAATTGATTTAAATAAAATTTGACGAAAAGTTTTTAAAGAATTTTTAAAATTATTAATTGTGATAAATAGAATACCCAAATATGTTCTGATGAAGGATTTGAGTTAAAAGTTGATGAGGAAGAAGGAGCGTCCATTTAAACGAACCGTATGGTACAGTGCTTTAGCTAGTAAATGAAAGGATTATTGTGCATCGCGAAGAGTTCAAAAATCAATGTGAGGTCAAATCAATACATATATGAAGTCAGAGTGATGAC